GTGTGGGGGGGGGGGGGGCGTTTTCGACGGGCGTGGGTGTGTGGGATACTTCGGGCGGTGGTCGTTTTTCTCGCGTTCTCCTTTCGGTGTGTGTGCGTGAAGCGTCTCTCTCAGTGAAGTTGCAGCGGCTGCAGCGGTACACAGCGCTTGTTTGTCCCCCCCCCTGGTAGTGTTCCGAGATCTGATATTGGTTTCATGAGCGGGGTGTGCCTGCCCCCCACGGTTGGTTCTGCTTGAGGGTGGTAGTCGGGAAATTTCCCCGCGTAGTAAGGCGGGGTGAGACAAACTCCAGAGCGGGGCACGTGCAAGGATGGTACTATATATATCTCGAGGAAGGGGCGAGGTGGTGGTGGTGGGGGAGCATCCTCTTGCAACCCTGCTATGCATATGTTGTGACTGCGTGAAGAGGGACTTGCTCGTTTTCGGGGGGGGGGGGGGTTGACTTGGCGGGGCGTTTTTCGCTCGTGGTTTACGCCGCTCTTCCAATGGCGGAGCTGACAACCCACCACCAACACCGCATGCATGTGGAACCAAACGAGAGCAGTAGTGGTGGTGTGCCGGTCGTGCTTGTATTGGTTTCACGGTTTGCTGCTGGGAAGTGTGGTCGGACAAGTGGGCCGCAAAAACTCGCGGTGGTATAAAGAACAAAAGCTGTGATAGATATTATTATCTCGTCTACGGTAGCCGGCTGTCCTTTTTTTGTTAACACATGAGACAACGGCTATGCTGTCTCTGACCGCTCCCTGACATAAAGCAGCCGCAGGGAAGCAGCCCGCGCGACTGCGTGCGGCAATGGGCTGGTTGAATCTTTGGCATCGAAGCGTACCGAGAGCCAAGTCTCCGGCGTTTCCCACCGCTCTGGGTGCATATGTAAGGTTCGACTCTCATCGCTGCGCCATCCGGAGCACATCCGGAGCACGTCCACACAACCAACCCGTGTATATAACGCACTCAAAGTGTAAAGAGCCGATCGCAACCGCAGGGGCTGCCGATCGGAAAATATCACTTTTTCTCATTGATGGTGGAGGCCACACACACACAGAGCGCCGCCATCCTGCCTCCCCATCTCGAGCTACTCCCCTACACCCACACCTACACAAGTTACCACCTGCCGTTAACCCGTTCCCGTTCCCGTCCCTGTTCCCGATCGCAACCGCAATGGCTGCCAATGGAAAACTTAAACTCTACCATCTTGTTTATGGCAGATAGGCCACACACGCACAGAGCGCCCTCGTCCTGCCTCGACATTTCGAGCTAAATACTACCCTACACCAGTAGTTCACTCGTACCGTTATACTTGTACCCGTTCCCGTTTTTTCCCGTTTCCCGTACCCGTACCCGTCCCAGATAACTGCGTCAACGTACCCAGGTCGACTCAGTCTCGAAGAGCCCCCGCTACAGGGCCCTTCAATCCACCACTCGTCTTGACCAGTGTATTTCATCCCGTCCTCGGGAAAAAAAATAGGAGTACTTGTTAAATACCTACCCTCCCTCCACAAGTCAGCCACACCCAAAACTGATGTGCACCAATGAGCGATCTGCACCAGCAGCAGTAGAAGTGCGTCACGAGGAACCCCCGCTACAGGCCCCCCCGAACATACAGCTTAACTGGATAAATCACACGAAGACAAGCATACATTCATCGAAAGGGTAGATAGGAAAAACTCCATACCCCGCCTTCCAAAAATAATTTCCTCTAGTAAGATATTTAAGATATTTAGAGAAAAAAAAGGTAAAATACTCGTAAAAAAAAAAAAAAAACTTCAAAGCAACAATCAATCAGCAACAATGCTGCATCCTCGTACGCTTAGGATAAATAAAGTGGAATACAGCGAACGCACCAGAGTTGGGCAACAGAATGGAAACGATTAAATTTCGTTCCTCGGGACAAGAGGCGGCCATTGTCTAACGACCGCCTTTCAATGAGCCATCTACCGTTACCGCCCAAAGCCTGAGCTAAACAAGCTTCACAGTCCGTTATAAAGTGGAGTCGATCCAATCCGACGAGCGAGCACGTCATCAGCAATCAATCGTATTCCTTCTTTGCCGCGGCCCTACTCCCTTTCTCTGCAAGTATCGCTCTGGCCATCGTCGTAGACAGACGTCGTCGTCATACATCCTCTCGAAGCACGGACACACCAACGACGACAAGGTCGCCGACACCGCCCTCATCGCCCCGCACATCCGCCCCGTTGCTGGGTTCGGCGAACGGGGAGACCGGAACCACGCCGTGAAGACGTTCGTCGCCCTCAAAGCCGGGGCATCGTCAGCGCCGCCGCCGCCGCCGCGGGCCCCGGCCGTGTTGTCGACGAAAGCGGGGACCGGGACGGGCGCGTCCAATACTGCCGCAGCAACAGCACCACCACCACTTACTTCCACTCCCTTTCCCTGCACGGGGCCGTCGACGAACAACCACGCCGAGGAATCCGCGAGGTTGACCTGTTGCTCGGGAGAGAAGGCCGACAGTCCAGCGGTGCCGTGCCCCGGCCGCTGCTGCTGCCGCCGCTGCTGCTGCTGTTCCGCCTGATGCTGCTGCTGCTGCTGCTCCGGCGGCCACGGGTGGGGTTCCAACGAAGACGCTGAACACGGCAGCGGCCAGGAGGGCGGCGACGGCGGCGACGGCGGCGAGGGCAGTGTTGGCGGTGTCGGCGGCGAGGACGGCGGCGGGCGTGGTCGCGAGGACCGTGCGGAGGGCGGCGACGGCCACGCGCGGAAGATCGAATCCTCGTGGTCAAACACCGAGTGGAACGACTCGGAGATTATGTTGTCGACATGGCCCGCGTCCCTGGGTGGCGGCGGCGGGGGCGGCGGCGGCTGCATCGCAGTGTCGAACTGCACGTACGGGGTGCACGTGGGCGGGGGAGGTTGGAACGGTGGGAGGGGGGGGCAAGCAAGATGATGTTAATAATAGGGCGTTTTCAACTAATCCCGACAGGTCGGGCCTTCGCACCGTCTAGCCGACAATATTATTCAGAAAAACAAACAACATGCACGACGCTCGACATTGTACTCAAACACGACGAACGTACGACTACAAATGTATTGTTGAGCGAAATCAAACACTGCCGTGGCTACTCCTTACCATGGTCAGTTGACCTCCTCCGGTATGTTGTCGA